CGCGGCCTGCTGGCGTCCACAGTTGCCTGGCGCCGCAGGCCTTGAGGTGGGGACGTTCGGCCGCGGACACCCTCCCCTTTCGACCCTGAGTTACCCGGCCTGGTGGCCCCAGGACGTTCCCGTCGCATGGCGGAGTGCTGCAGACGACGCCCATGAAGTCCGTAGTCCTTCTAGTTGCGCTGTTGCTATGGCCTGCGTCTGCGCCGGCGTTTCCGGCATCCCGGAGTAAGTGGCCCGCCCGCCCCGGCCCGGGGTACGGCCCCAGGGTTCCGTGCCGCAGGAGTCCCACGGTTTTCCTGCTCCCTTCCAGGGTGTTGGCCTCGCGTGTCCCTCTGTACCCATCTGTGCCTCTGCCGAGAGGACACTTCCTCTCTCACCCTCGTCCCCTGCCTGGCATTCGCTGTAAAGCGGGTAAAGCAGGAACTGCGGACTGCAGGGCAGTCTCGCCTTTTTATGTATGGCTGGCCTACTAACCCTGCTTTTGACTATTTTTCCCCGTACTGAAAATTTATCCCAGGGCCTTTGCACTGAGCCACATCCGAGGGCCTCTCTGTCATTAGTCGCCAGGCTGGGCTCCAACTCACAATCCTCCTGCTTCAGTCTTCCAGAGTTCTGGATTTACAAACGTGCACCACCCCGCCTGGCGGACATTTTTAAAAATATAAATATGAAATGTACACCTTTCATAACGTGCAAAGTATGAAATTCAAGTTTCACTGCTCATAAAGTTTTACTAGAACACACCTATGGCTATTCAGTTATGCACTGGGTTTTATGATATGTAGAAGTTAAATGATTGTTTCCCACGGTAAGGCTTGAAAAGTTTCAAGTATTTACCCTCTGACCCTTGACGCCTGAGGTAAAAGTTGAAGAGCACGCAGGACCCTGGGCAGCTGTCTGGGTCACTCAGCCTCTTAAATCAGAGTTTGGTGCAAGAACTTAAGATTGGTTAAGCAGAATTCTTATGACTCCCAAGAAATTCTTTTGTTCCCTCCAATAGCTGAAACCCAGTAAGGTTAAATTCAGCACTGCTGAGACATATTGACAGCACCATGTAGATATCCTGAGACACAACTAAGTAAAGTATCAGATGTGGGTGTGAGGTTGCCTGTCCGGTCTAACTGCAGTTCACTGTGGCATTTAATATTGTTGGAGTTTAATATTGTCAAGTCAGTCAGTAAAATTCAAAAAGCATGTGTGAAAAAAGTGTACTAAGTATACAGTATCATTTCAGAATTGTTAAAAGGTCTTAGTTGAGCTGAACATTCTGTCTTGCCTATAATCCCAAGTACTGTACTCAGAAGGCTGAGGCAGAAGGTTTGCAAATTCAAAAACAGCCTGAGCTACTACTCTGAGATGGGCTGTTTCAAAAGAAATAAAAGAGTGTAGGCCTGGGGATGTAGCTCAGTGGTAAAGCACTCACCTTACATGGAGAAGGCCCTGGGTTCAATCCTCATAGTGAAAAAAAGAAAATACAGTTAAAAATTAGATTTAAAAGCCAGGCATGGTGGTGTATACCTGTAATCTCAGCACTTGAGAAGCTGAGTCAGGAAGATTGCCATGAGTTCAAGTCCAACCCCTTCTACATAGCAAGACCCTATCTCAAAAAAAAAAAAAAAGATCAAAAGAATGAAAAAATACAACACAGCCTTAAATTATCATGAACAGCTGGGAAAGTTTTGGATAAAGTGTCCAGATAACAAAAGTTACCCTTTTCAGTACTAAAACTCAAGATTTTTTTAGCTGTTTTTAATAATCTTTAGAAAAATTTTCTTCCTTGACATAAAGGACCAAAAACACAATGAAAATGACATTATCTTTTCTTGATATTTGATTATCTTTATTACTAACAGCAGTTTACTGCATTTTGGTAGAGCCGAGCATCACAAGTAGCATAGAGGGACTTTCACTGAAGTGACACTAGTCCTGCCTGAGACTGTCTCCCAGCAGCCCCTGGACACTTAACACCCTGCAGTCTCCGGCAATGCCACAATTTCATGGCCTGTTTTCTTTGCATCTTTTCCCCTAAACTTTCTTAAGGCTTTTAGGAAATGAAAAGACATTTGTCAGAAATAAGGAATGGCTTTGTGTTGAGTACATAGATGATGTAAGACATAAATATATACAGGTTATGAATCATAGAAGGCATTTTAAAAATGAAATTTACATCTTTTTCATAGACAGACTAAGAGAGATGAAGGGCAGTTACATGGCTACTTTCTCTAGCTTTCATATTTTCTCCTAATTTTTTAAAATTTGAAAAATAAATAGAACAAACAAAACTGGGCTTATTTCAGTGGATTTGATTTAAATCAGGTATGTATTTTATAGAGGCACTACTAAAACCACTTGGCAAGAGATACAAATAAAAAATGTTCTCTCATCCCAGAGGTAAGGCACATAGATATTTCTAATGGAAAGTGAAGCTCTGATAAATTTTTCTAGGCTACTAAGACAATTTTGAGGTTATCTTATTCAAACACCACAGGCATTTAAGCAAATACATTTGTTGAAAGCCTCAGTACCATTTTAATGTAAATTCAGCTTGACAGGAAGGAAGCTTGGGTATGCGGAGGGCTACACTTCCCTACATACACGTACATTCTGATGGTGCTGCATCAATACACTGTATACTTAATTTTTTATAATTCAGTTAGTTTCCTGTATCTGATTTTTCATAATTTTAAATACTTCTTGGTTTTTTTTTTTTGAGACAGTCTCACCAAGTAGTTTAGGCTGGTGTTGAAGTCACTATGTAGCCCAGGGTGATGCTCCTGAACGCCGGGATCATAGGTGTGTGCCACCACACCCAGCTGTTTCTTTTAAATTAAAAAAATGCGAATTTGTTTTGCTTTTTAAAAAATATATAATTTCTAATGTAACAACATATTAGTTATATATCCAAATAATATTATTACTAAAATTATATAATTTGCCTTTTATAATTTGTCATTAAATATTCATAACTACAAATACTAGACTGAAATGTTAGTTTTGGGAAGGTTTTTGCATCTCGTGAATAAATTGCTTTTTTCCAGTCACCTCATTGTACAGATAAGCAAAAATAGAGTTAATGGCACAGATTTTAGTCCAGGGTGCCAAAAACTCTGCACTGCTTCTCTAGATTGGTATTAAAAGGAAGCTCCAAGTGTGAATCTGGTCTCTGTCCTTGTGTTTACAAAGGACTTTGTCGTAATGAAGCATAAAAGGCAAAGGCGGTGTTAAAGTAGCAACCAGCAACAGCTGCTCAAATCTATCACCAAATCGAGGAAAGGAAGAGCGGGTTTATTTTAGTACCTTTAAAGGTGGAGCTCCCTCCAGTACAGTTCTGCCAGTCCTCAGGACATTACCTCAGGGCCAGGCTGTGGCCCTGGGGAGGGGCTCTGAGGCCTAGGCGTGGGCGTCGTGGTGCTCGGTAGAGGCTGAGATCTTGAGGAGCAGGACGTCCAGCTGGCCAGTGCTCAAGTGGCCTATGGCAATAGCAGGAAGTTTCATTGGTCTGTCCGTTAATGACTCGGACGGGAAAGTCTTTTGTCTTGGTTCTTTTGACCATAGCAGCCCTTAACTGGATATAATTTAATCACCTTATAATATATGTAAAATTTAAATTCAGCGGCATTTTTTATCTCCATAAAAGAAAAATGAACACAATATTGGTTATTTGAATAAGTATGATTTTATTCTTTTTTTCCAGCATCGTTTTATATTTGTGGCTTCTTAAAACACCTGATTTATTTTGCCTAATTATAATTTTTTTTTCCTGAGGCTCAAATATTCACACCTAAACCAGTCAGAGTCCCTGTGAGCTGCTTCTATGTCCTTTTGGTCGGATCCTGGGTATTTTTTAAAGAGTACCTGTTTTTTACATTAACTGCTTATCCCAAACCTACTTTGATCTTCCCTGCTCTGATAAAATCAGTCATCCCTCCAAGGAGACACACTACACTTGTGTGGTGGGCGGTACTGGTACTTTGGCCATTTTAGCTGTTCACTTTAGAAACTATTGCTTCTTGGGCCAAGATTTAAGGTCACATTATTTTTCCTTTCTTATTATTATTATATTATTATTCCTCACATTAGTTGTTAATGAACTAGTATGTTACTGTATAATCTTTTCTTTTCTTTTCTTTTTTTTTTTTTTTTTGGCTTTTTGAGACAGGGTCTCACTATGTAGTTGAGACTGACCTGGAACTCACTATGTAGTCCAGGCTGGTCTCAGACTCACAGCAACTCTCCTGCCTCAGCCTCCCAAGTGCTGGGATTACAGGCATAAGCCACCACACCCGGCTGTATAAGCTTTTCAGTGTTTACATTCTATTATTTTAATAGTTTAATTCTTGGCACACTGTCATTTCTCAGAGAGAAATAAGTGTTTTGGATTTTTTTCATTTTTGAATATAAAGCCTACGTGAGAAAATTTTGTTAACTCAATTCACTCATACTAGCACTTAGCTTTGTTGATTATGAAATTTCTTCATTTTATAAAGGTGTAGCATTTTTACAAAAGATGCAATTATATATATTAATTATTTTAAATAGACATCAAAGAAAAAATTGTTCCTTTCAGCTTTTATCAGTTGAAGTTTTGTGTGTGCAGTCAGCTATTTTAATTGGTGCTTGAAAGTGCATCTGTAAGAATTTGAGACTTTCAAGTATCATTTTTAAAAACTTAGTTTACAAGATACATATTTGCATAAAAAACAACAGTAAATTTTGTTGGAGTGGTTTTTCATATAGTTGCTTTTAAAAAATAGTAAATTTACATTTTAGAACCTTTATAAATTAAAATGACTGACTTGGTCTTAAACTTACATTAAATTATTTCTAAAAATTAACAATATCTTTGGCCACAGAAATCAAAGATTCTTAGGTGAGACCAAGGAACCAAGCCATTCCTAGCTCTAGCTCTATGGTAAAAAAAGCAAAAATAAAAACCCCTGCCAGGCATGGTGGCGCACACCTGTAATAACAGCACTTGGGAGGCTGAGGCAGGAGGATCCATGTGAGTTGGAGACCAGCCTGGGCTACATAGTGAGTTCCAGGTCAGTCTCAACTACACAGTGAGACCCTGTCTCAAACAAAACAAAACAAAACAAAACAAACAACAAAAAAATTAAACTAAAACTTCATGAGTTCTATTTTTAGATCCATAGTCTTAAATTTGAGAATGTTCATATTATTTTTCTTATTCAAAACAACAAAATCATGGTATAATAAAAATGGGA